AAAATATCAATTTTACGTAACGGAGAAATATAGGTATTTCATAGATAATTATATGATAAACAGAACATATTACAGTTGTCGCTTAATTTTATCTTCAAGTTTTGAATTGATATCCTACGAGTGAGCACAATATAATTTCCTTATGCCCATGTAATATCCTCAGCTATTTAATCACAAAGGAATGATAAATAATAATAAATACATTTTGATAGTTGATATTTTTCAATCATACAGTGTTCATAAATGATAATGCAATTTGACAGTTTTTTAAACAAAATGAATCATTATTTATGATAATATAAATGAAAGTGTTTTTCAATCATACAGGAATGATATAAATAATAATTTAATCACACATGAATAATAAAAAATAAAACATTTTTTTGGTTAATATTTTTCAATCATACAGTGATCATAAATGATAATGAATACATTAATTTTGACAGTTTTGTAAACAAAAGGATTATAAAATCATTATAATCATGATAATAAATGAAAGTTTTTAAAGCATACAATTTGTTTGCTTATACCCCAAAATAATAATTTTCCTGTTGAGTATTCTCATGTATTTAGCACAAACAATTCACACACATTTTCACTGTCAGTAAACTGATTTAATTGAGAAGTTTTGAAGTGTATCCACGGGCGATTCAAACCAGATTTAAACCTACTTGTGGTTCATATGAAGAAGTAGAATTGATTTTTGAGTACCAAAAACCGCTTGATAGTGCACATCATTATAGTAGATAAAACCCTTCTGGCGGCTGGGATATCGGCTGATAATGTCCGAGGATGAGAAATGGTCCGAAAAATAAACATTCGGCCGAGAAGCGTAGCTTATTCTTATATCCCAACGGATTCATTTTGTTGTGTTGACGAAGAAAGCCATCAAAGTGCAAGGTAAAATATACACACGATGTGATTGGTTTACAGTAATTTTCTCGTTATTTGTTTGGTTAATCATTGACAAGTGATTGAACAAGGCTGCAAAACTTAATCTACTACAAATTCATTGCTGCGTTTAGCGTAAATTATAGGTCTTTTTAGATACAAAACTTACAAAATGAGTGTCTTTAGTTATTTTACTTAGTAAAATCGACACCCATTAAACAACGTAGAACTTGCGAAATTAAGAGACGCAGATCCAACTAGAGAATTTTGGTAATCAAACCAGCATTTTTTACTTTGTTCTTTAGTTGCCCAACATTTGATAGTAATTTTCTTCATTCGGAAGTTAATAATCAACTCTTAAATAAATATTAAATTTTTCCACCGGATATAAGCTTATTTTAAACTAAAATCTCATGTTAAGATTTAAACCGGCAACCTGGACAGTCCTTTTACGCACATAAGCTATCCCTGGATATAACAAGCTAAAAGCTACTATAAAGCCACATATGGTTAGTYTTACCTGACGTTTTTCTCCTTTTCCCTTCAGTACAATTTTTCTCCTTTTCCAATTCTGATAATTTTTCTCGCAAATCTCTTTTTTTCTGACGCTCATGTTCTCTGTTTTCCTCGGTAAACTTCTCTCTAGAAACCCTTTTTCTTTGACGTTCAGATTCTCGGTTTTCTTCACTAAAATTCTCCCTCAGTAACCGTTGTCTTTGGCGTTCATTTTCTCGGTTCTCTTCTGTGAAATTCTCTCTCGATAACCGTTTTCTTTCGCGTTCATTTTCTCGATTCTCCTCTGTGAAATTCTCTCTCGATAAGCGTTTTCTTTCGCGTTCATTTTCTCGATTCTCCTCTGTGAAATTCTCTCTCGATAAGCGTTTTCTTTCGCGTTCATTTTCTCG